ACACGCCAAAGCGTATGTGTGTAAAGTTTGTTCCGCATTGGTTAAGAAATAAAAAGTTGTATTCCAAACATCCACTCTCAAAAATAAACTACCAACCCTTCGTTATATCATATAAGATTTGAAAAATTCTGTCTGAAAAATAATGCTCTGTGAAGGTGCTTCTCTTCCTTTAGTTAATTTGATATTTAAGGTACCCACATCTGCCAGTTGCTTTGTATGTAATAATGGTGATAGCCGTGCTTATTTACGCAACATCGTTAACAATTTACGGTTACTGGGATTCATCAGGTTTGAATTTTCAGCCCGTGTGAGTAAAGACCTTTGCTTGACGTAAGAAAATCAAAAAGTTTCCTAACTAAGCTATATCCCACACTGCTATCTTCTTCCTGCTTAGCATCGAAATTAGATTGTTCATTGTGTTGATTTCCCGGCGAGCGAACATAATGATCAATCGGAATTAATCCCACTGAGTAAGATGGATGAAGTATCCGCTTTATGAACCTGAGTACCTCAAATTTTGTGAACTTCGTCGAACTTTTGTGAACTTTCCAACTTCGTCGAGAGACCATCAGACATAGATCACCGAAGAGGAGATGGCATTGTTGTAAGCCACTGACTCACTCCCATTCCGTTCTCAACGCTTTCGGTTATTCCTGTGCCGAAAATTGCTGAAAAATGCTATCGCCTCGCGTCTTGTTTCTATGTCGATGCTAATGTTGCAGAATTGCGCATTCCAGTTGCAAATGTGATGAGATTTTAAAATTATCCTTGTGTAATGACTAAGGACATCACGAACTCAAAGAAGGCGAAAGAAAGCGTGCGGACTTGTGTTTCAATATACTCTCGTAGTTCGCTAATCTGATCACTGTATGGACTCTTTTCCAAGTTTTGCAATGTGGCTATTCTTCCGAAGAATTCTTGTTTGAAATGAGTATTATTAGGTATTAGGCCACAAGTAGGAGACTGATCGAAAATGGCCTATTCTGCCGAAACTCTCTTTACGGTTTACAAGGTTATTTTTATCGTTTGATTCAATTTTAGGAAAGAGTGAGGAATGCTACCTTCGCTATAGTTTTTGATTGACTTTGTCAATGCATTCATAGGTAGTTAGAGAGTGAAACACAAATTTACAGAGCTTTTTTCCTATTCCTTAGCCCGGTCAGACAATGATGATGCTCACCCGTTTTGCAATTCTACGTCTGAAAGAATGTGTAATTAAAATGAAAAAAAAATTAATTTGAAGTATGATCAGTGCAGAAATCAGATTTATCAATTTTTTAAATTGATATGACACTTAATATACAAGAAATAATACTTAATATACAATAAATAAGAAATAAAGTGTCAAAAAAAAAAAACAATAATCAAATCACAGTTACCAAATTGCATTAAATCTTTCTTCACAACCCAATTGTTGTGGTCGAAAAATTCAAATAAAAAACATAATTGTGTAACGCTACCCTTACTGTCCCTGTCGAAATGCAAAGGACTCCATTGCTTGCCGAGGTGGGCCCAATTTGGTGTCAATGACTCAAAGAAATGACATCTTCAGGCTCCTCCAAAATCTTACAATGCAGCGTTACCGCTTACCTTCTCTTCTTGACCTCGTAATTTTATAAACGGATTTCTGCTTGTAACTTTGCTATGTAAACATGAGAGTTTGTGGATAGACTTTCCCGTGTCCTAGTACTAGTTGCAGTAAAAATGATTACCATTTCTTCTTCAATTTATACATTCCTGTAACTTTTTATGAGAGTGGAAATGTTCGCAAAGATCCTTTTGAGAATCATTGGGAACCTTTGATCATTAGTCGCTGCGCAAGTCCTACTATCAACAATGACGTAATCAATCTTACCATGTATTTTTCTGTCCTAAAGTCTAACCAAGATCGTAATTTGTTTAAAATACTTAATATCTCAAGAAAAAACGAAATCTGTAGACGCAACAAAAATAGTTAGGCAAATGGACACGAGTTGAACGGTAACTGCACATTTATCGCACGCGAGGAGATCATCCTACTGAATTTTTTAAATTACTCATTTCCAGTTTTCATTGGATCGCTTTGGCACTCCAGTACATATGATCAAAAGAAGGCCGCTCCAATGCCGTGATTGATCTCATTTTCGTAGCGCTTGCCACAAATCATCGTTATTGAGTTCTAACTTTACAAAACTTAGTATTTAAGATGATCTCCTTCCATTATGCTTTCCACCAGCAGCATTCAACACAAAATCGCGAATAGTATGGATCTGCTCGAATGTCGTTATTTCAGTTTTAGTAATAATTGTTCATATTTTTGCTCACATCAATTGTCGCAAGCATGGTAGGTTTTCATAATTCAAGTTTCTCTTAAATTTGCACCATCTACATGTCATTATTCTGAAACTAGCTCTCCTCGTAACCATTCAGCCTTAGCAAATAGCATCCGTGGCAGGATTACTGAGCGCAACCGACGATTACTTCACTCAATATTTATCGTCACGGGTGTTTACATATTTACATGGTTTGCTACTGTTGTTCTCCTACTTATCACCCAGGTATTTTTCATTGCAATCATAGATGTCCTTAAAATCTTATGACTGGAAAAGCTTCATGTTTTTAGATGTTCCATCTTAGCCCAGCTACTATTACTAAAATCAATCTACAGATCGGATGGTTGGTAATTATCAATACCTCCGATAATTTTTTCATATATTTCTGGAGAGCTCCAGATTATAGGTGAGTTTATTGGCAAGAGGAAGTCTGTGTGCAACCCTCTAACAATAGCTTTTTTTGCTAACAAT